TTTTTGAGACAATGGTACATCAAGGATCATAAAGGTACATTTATTCAGACAAAAAAAACAAATTCGCCGTATTTAAAGGAGAATTCTTCTTTTTTTTGGCATGTTTTTGCCATTTTATGGGTTACTATACACCGCACAAGCCATGGAGGTTGTGTAACCAGGCGAATTCTCATCGCCGATCGCCTCTTTGGACTGGCAAATTTACTATGAAACATGAAAGATCATGACAGTAACTATATGTACTTAAAACATCTTAAAACATGAAAGTAACTATATCACACTAAGATAGTGGTAGATTACATGTCATTCTATCCGTTTGATTCTTTTGGGTTTTTTCTATGCAAGCCATCATCATAGAGAGCTAACCCCCCCCCCTAGCCCCCCCCCCTCCCAGAAAACCAAATTAAGGCCTTAATAAGGCCTTAACTAGGCCTTATTTTGGTGAAAAAAAAATTAAAGCCTAGTTAAGGCCAAATTAGCTTAATTCAGTCTTAATTTTGGTGACATTTGCCGTGTTTCATGTTTATTCAATTTCTCCAGTGTATTCCAAATTCTTTGGATGAAAATCCTTAATTTGGTCCTATTTGGTCCACTTCTCCCAATGTAGTCCGGTCTTTGGATGCATTTCATGACCTGGATGGATGTAAGTTTGGTGGAAATATATTTTCTCATTTGGTGTACAATCCAGGCGGCGTATTTCCAATGTTTGGGTGATTTGAATTTTACGGTTGTTTTTATTGCCATTTTTTGGGGGCACCCCAGCAACAAACACGTAGTACCAACATGTTCATGTCATGTAACACAACAGTTTTTGCCCACAAAGCGTGGGATTTTTCTTTTACTTAACACGGTGGTTGGGTTGATGAGCCCGCCCGCTTGACAATGTGCTTTTAATCCAGGCAGATTCAAACAGCAGAGCGACTCCAAGCATCCAGGATTGAAAATCATCTATTTCAATTGAGGCCCGGGACCAAACAAATAATTAGACCTCTTTTAAGGGATATTGGTTTGGGATGGCTTTTCATTACGCACTAGCAGATATGCAATGGACTGCGATGGCGATGATGACGATGTGCCTGGAATTGGCAACGAGGACACTGAATTCTCGCACCTCTGTTACTTGTCCAACTCCAAGGTGAAAATCAATTCTGATAGAATGGGGATAGAATTGGGACTTGTCGCTATTTTTCGGTTTGGGAATTGTTGTCGTACGTTAAAGGTAGAAACCACCAAACTAAATAATAGAGCGTTTGTTTGGTTGGCAATAGCATCACTGTCGATTTTTCCCGGTCCCCCCAAGTCAAGACTTGAGGTAAGATCAATGCTGCTGGCGTAGAGTTGTTGGCCTATGTTTCTGACACACGTCAGACCGAGTGGTCCTTGAATGAGGCACCACAGTTTTGAAACCATTCTTATAATTTCACAACCCTTTTGAAATTTTGCAAGTACCATTTAACACAAAAGAACCCGCAACATATTTTAAAGTACAGTTCCCTGACGCAGCTTCGTTTGGCAGGTCTTAGCTTTTTTCACTCGGAGTGGGTCGAAGGACAAGCGTGGCACACGCTTTAAGACTGCAGAGGCTACAATTCAAAACTACCACAGAGAAATGTGGCCGGGTGTGGATGTTGAACTATTGCAGACGAAATTTTCTTCTGGGAGTGAGGAACAGCAAAAGTCCTGGTTGGATCACAGCACTATTCCGACTTCCTGGTTGGTGGCTTTTTTTGTTTACAAAGTGAATTTCAAATTTGGGAACAGAAGTGATCGAACTGTTGCTTGGAAAGCTATGTCAGCAATCCTTGCGGCGCTGTTAACAGGCATAGGGCAATTTTCAATTCCGCATGCCCGTTTTGGTGATGGAGCTAATGTGGATTTGGTTGTTGACACACAGGGCCATGTACAGTTTTCTGACATCTGGACGACACAGTTTTACACTTCACAAGCCCGTCGCTGGTGGACGAAGGATCGGGGGGATTCTGGGAAACCATGGGTTTCTGTGGAGTTTGCGGCTGGGCATACAGTGCCCTTGTTGGACATCATTGTGTTTCTTCTCGATCCCCAGCATTCAAGACAGTTTCAAGACAGGGTCAGGGGGGTTGTGCTTCCATTACTGACCCATGTGGCGGGGGTATTGGATGACAACGTGAAGAGCCTGAGTTCACAATCCAATGCACGTGGACCTTCACGCAAACGAAAGAGAATCTCAACGATTTTGGTCCGGACCCATGTTGAACAAGCTGCCACCCGAATATGGAACAGAACAGACCTTTGGCAACAATTTCAAAGCACTGAAACGTGTTTGTTTCCTTCCCACCCACTTTTTTCCGAATCATCAAGGAAATGACTATAGTGTTTGCTCGCTTTTTGAGCATTAATGTTGTCGAAATGAAAATTGAGATGCACCCATGATGATATGCAAAGTTAAACAAAAGTGTCTGCCGGAGCCCTCTTGAAACTTGAAGCCCAGGATCTGTTTTTGCGAAGAGCTTTGACAGAAGTCGGGAGCGCAATGAAGTGCCATGCAGCCGCTACAATGGCTATGGTCCATGTCTCAGCTCTAGCTTGCACTAGTCGCTAGGTGGTTTACAAGTGTTCTGAGAGTCGATATAGTTTTATCAATGAAGAAAGCCGGTTGAGACATGAGAGGACACGGGTGAACGTCGCTGACTGGGACAGACCCAACCCCCGAAGTTTTTGTCGCTGAGTTCGTCTACTGGGCAACAGCGATGACTGCATTTGCCGGTTGTACAGTTCTCCACGTCGACGCCCCAGTCCAGACAGAATGACAGCACCGAATTTTGCCCCCTTAAAGTATCACCAAAGGGCACAAAACTGTTTTTATTCAGCTATTAACACAATTTCCTTTGAAAGGGGTCCTCCGGGTGAAATTGCAGCTTTTTACGCGCTTGCACGCGCGCGCCCAGGACACCATTCACCCTGAGGACCTCTTTCAAGGGAAATCTTGTTTATTCTAGCACGGCGACATTGAAAAAATGCAATAATGAGTTTGACAACACCACCATGAAAGTCCAATGATTCCTTTCCCTTGAACATCCCCGCTACCTTTTTCACCGTTCTTGAGGTCTACACTGACGCTTCTTCCATAGCGAAGAGGCCGTCAGAATTGATGTGGATGTGGTCCCCGCTTCTTGAGAAAGGTGTCTACGCACCACTGCTAGTCGGGGGTCCCAGCCAGGTGGTTAGCAGACAACGCAGCAGTTGACAATGAGATCATGACTAATGTTTTCTGTTCAATTCGTAAGGAAATCTTAATCTTTTAGTTGGCAACAAGAAGCGTGTTTTCAATCACTGGCTACCTCCTCAGCATACTGTAGCTGCTAGTTGCTCACAGGGTCAAAAACGCCAGCACTGACATGTCATGTGTTGTTTCTAATATCCAAGGAGCTATGTTTAATACTTAGATACCACCCAAGGAAACACAAAGACTGTCAAGTTGTTCAATCTCTAGGTTATGTCTTGTTTCTGTCGGAAACCAAAACAATGGCCAATGGCGCTGGTGACCGTTGCGGCATCTGCAGCAGCGATGTGTCAGACACATGCGCAAGCGAGTCAGATTCCAACGCCCCAGCGTGGACGAAAGCTTCACGTGTTTCCTCTTTGTCATCCCCTACAGTTGATCCCATGGAGGATTGGCTGAACAAACTGAAAATGGTTGATATTCCTAGAAGTATCCCAAGTTTTAAACGGTAATATTTTTTTCCATGTTTCAATCCCACTTCCTTGCTGGGAGTCTGACCCACAGGACATGAGATCAGAACCAATGCTGGTTCGCGCGGGGAGGTTCTTGCAACTTGCTTTGCGGGTGGCTATCCAGGTACTAGGTGTTTGTGCGTTAGAGGACTGGGTGGTCTCAATCAATGATAATGACAGATTCGAGCTTAGCAATAAAAAATGTTGAAGTGTTGAGATTGGTTTGGAGTTACCCCCGTTGAAATTGAATTGAATTTGCATGACGGAAGACAACACTTCAATTTATAACTAAATTTAAAATTGCGGTCCTTTGCTTTCGCGGTACAGAAAAGAAACATCATTCATGGATTATATTATATAATCAGACTAACTTATTATCTTTCCAGATCCCCATTCCTGGTGTAACCCCCATGTGACAAACCAGGTCCAAATAACACGGTTTACTGTTCTTGGGTTGATGTTGAACATCCCAACTTTCAAACATATGGATTTGTACCCAGCAGGCCCCGTGCGCGTGCAGGAGTCGATGCTTTTCACAGTGAGATATACCTCAAGTGCATGCACTGGCTCCTACTCTGGGGAAATGGGGCTTTCTGCAATTCAACATGCTCTCAACACTAGTGGCCAGTTTCAGAGGAAAGCAGATTACACCACAATCAGGGTACATGAAGCTTGGAAGTGTTGAATGTTAAATCTAATTTCAATGGTTTGTTTTTTTCTGAAAAAGGGGTGCCCAATAAAACAAAACCTGAGAATGTTTGTCGGTGACCTAAAGCGTAACAAGGAAATCCGTAAGCGATGCAGGCAGCTTATCACTGACCACTGGGCATGGTGTGATTCAATCTCACGTACCAAGCAGCCTTGTGTGCACGGTGATCTGCTTGGGATTTTACCAGAAAATAGCTATTCTGACAGTGACTGCTTCATCGACAAAGCAAAAGATATCGACCATGCCAGGCTTCGGGCTAAACAGACCCTGGACTTGCTTTTATGCCAGTTTGAAAACAATAGAGTTTCCACCTTCAAAAATGCTCAACTTTTGTTTAGTTCAAATTAGTGGGAGCAGCTAAGTGGTCAAGTCACATACTATCCACTTTTGGGTTATGTGATGCATCATACTATGTCTCAGTTCACAACTCCATTCATTCACTACTACTGAATTATTATTTTGACCTTTCGTCGTCTCTCTGCCAAGGTATTGCTTTACGCACGACGCGTGCTGCCCCATTTTTGGGCCAAGTGCGACCCCTGTCGATTATGATCTCTCCGGGCTGCCATGTCCGGACATGAGTCCGGCAGGCTTGAGGCAAGGCCAGGAAGGGCCAACTGGTGTGGTTTTCGCGGCACACGCGAAATATCATTGCGCGATGCGGACCCCATTGCTCACCAAGGAAAATGTTCCTGACCGATGTTGGGAAACTCCCCTTCCCCAAGACATGTTGGATTATTACAAAAGTATCGGGACTATTTTTCAACATGGAAACTTACGAGTCTGTTTATTCCGTAGGTAAGAGGACGGACCCTAAATTATTTCCCGGTGCCGATTCCTGTCAAGGAGCTCTGTATGGACATGATCTGCAAGTTGTATTCCAGGCACTACAACATGCAGGTCTTGAACGTCTCTCCTGCAGACATGGGCCATGCGGGAATTGCCCGGGACAGAATTTATTTGATTCTATGGTTGAAAGGCACGGTTGACCAGATTATGGACCCAGAAGTACTCTACAGCGCGATTTCTCACTACATTCAACGATTTGTGAAGACCGAACCCAAGGACTACCTTGTTTCGTCGCAGATGGACTATTTCAAAGAAGCTGAACGTATAGCTGTCAGACGTAAACTCCGTGTTCGTACGTTGAAGGTGTCCCAATTGTATTTGATACAGCAACTTTTCGTGATTTGTGTCTGTTATTAGTGCGAACAACACCCCATGTAAGATTTGTCCGTTCAAACAAATAGTAATAGCTCTAGGCTCACACCTCACTGATGATCACCCTAAACAAACATAACAAAACAATTAAACAAATTAATAATACAACGTACAACTTAACTACGGGGAGTGGGGTTCTGCAGCAGGGTTTAACTTGATGGGTAGTTTGGTCATAGTCATACAATACAATCAGATTATTCCTGTTGATTTTTTTGAATGGGAATCAAAAAACCAGGCGAATTTGAAGAAGAAGAAGGGGAACTTCTATGACCAGTACTACGTACTAACGGAACGAGAAAAGAGGGCGGCAAAGTATGCCTCCAAGTTGTACCGCACGAAGTTCCGACGGGATCCCGAAAAGGCTGACAATTTGTTCATTCACTTGGGGGACAACCCTTGGAAGTTCCTTTGCTGGTCTGGTGTGTCAGGGAGGTTGCCCACATTCCGTACCAGTTCCGGAAAGCTTTGGAACCCAAAACGAAAGGTGTTTTTGACACCAAAGGACAAGTTGGCAGCATTGGGTCTGCCAGTCACGCCTCAAGTGGCCTTGGCTATGGGCCTTCCTGTTCTTCCGATTGCCGACAGTCTCAGAGCCTCCGCCGTGGCAGGGAACAGTTTCCATTTCTCGTGTTCCACAGTTGTCCAGCTTGTGGCCCTTGGCTGCTACCGGCTGGCCCATTGAGTGCAGACCAGCAATTTTAATTTCAGGGAAACATGACTGAGGCGTTTCACTCATGGTCATACAGTCAATTCAGCAGAGATACTTGACGCAATGAAATTTCTTCAAAAAAGGGCACTTACAATGGCTCTCTGTCCTTTCAACACCATTGTCTGTCACGTTGATGGGTAACGTATACTTCAATACTACTAGTGGTGTTGAGTTGCCTTTTTTCTTTTGGAATTGCAGACTGCAGCTTTCATCTTAAATAATTTTCAGAGAAAATGGACTATCTGATAGCGCAGCACATTTGCAACCAAGTCGTTGCGCTAGTTTCTCGCTCGGACCTTTTTGATCCGACGTACTCCATGCCATCGACAGTTAAGATGCCCAAGACTAGGTCTAGGACCAGGAGGAGGAAAGAGGAAGATGATGATGAGATTGAGGTGGATCCCAGGCACACCTTCTTGGCAAAATCAGATGATGAGTTACCCGGGGAGAGTGACGATGATGAAGACTCAGGGTCCCACTCATCAGATGATGGTATGTTACTTGTCCTTATGAAGTCACTGTTGGTGATGCATTTTTTCTATGGAAAACACACTTTAAACAACCATGGATCCCCGTTCCAGAGTGTCGTTGGAAAACCCTTGCGCGTCACCCACGCCACCAACTGCCTTCATCCCAAGGTTTCAAGGTGGCATGTACGGCAAGGGGACCAGCGAGCGTGCGGTGAAACCTGCAGGCAAGGCTAAGGCAGCGGCAGCCAAGCCGCGTCGGAAAGGCTCTAAAGTGGCTAGCAACCCAGGATCTCGCAAGAGCACCAAGGAAGAGTACAAGCATCAGGTTCTTGTGCGGGACTTTGTCGAACCCTGTCGTTATTCAGTTTCAATACTATTGGTTCTGAACTTCAACACTAGTCCTATTTCGAAACAATATTATGAAACAATCCATGTCTGACCACATTAATGAATTATTTTTGGTGTTTCTTCACTTCTGCCTGTCCAGATTACTGACCCCACTGACCCAGAACAAGAAAACAGTACAATAAGAACACACACACAGTTATATATATATAGTTTTCGCATGGTTTTGGCGGGGTCCATTTTCACGGCTGCCCAACTGGAAAACTGGAATGTCACGTGGAATGTCACTGGGACCTGGAATGCTTGATCAGAATATGCACTTGTTCCAAAGATTTTGATCTGGGGAGTGGGTTTACCACCGCTGCAAGTCTAACACCGCAATGCCAGCCAAGGACAGTCATGTGAAGACATGGCTTCATGGCAGCGACCCCACATTCTTGAACGAAAAGCGAATTGAAAGAGAACGTCGTGCTATCCTGTTGAGTTTGGTCCTCTTCAATTTTGGATGGCTACCAAAAGACAGCAAGCCAGGGTTTCCCGGCATCATTTCATGTTCAATTCAATTCCAGGAAGAGACATCCAACAAACAAAATACATAACAGAGCAGCAACATACTATTAAATCTATGTTAATATGTTCTATCTGCTTGTGGGGTCCATCCTTTCCACAGACTCAAAGTTTGTCGTCAGCGCTTGATTATGGCTTACATTTTGATTCTTCAGCCTGCCCCAGGAGCAACAAAGATGCTGCGATTGAGGCTGCCAAGGCGCAGTACGAAACCCGTGGGAGCCCGATGCAGTCAACGGGCTGGAGCCCTGCCCAGGTACACATGTTCACCAAGTGGCAACTCAGCCAATACGCGGAAGGAAAAATTAGAAAATCGGCTCTTGGTGGTTTTGCCTGGCTCTTGCCTAAGAAGGGTTCAGATGGAAAACCAGGCGACCTTCCAGGTCCAGTTCAGAGCTACATCAAGAGCCAGTCAAAGGATGATGATGATGATGACGAAGAGGCCCATCAGTCTTCAATACAACCCTTACAGTAATTACGGACCATATTCTACAACGTTGTGTATCAAAGAGGTTAGGAGAAATTTAGTATGGAACTTAATTATACAATCGTGTTTCTGGTTTTCCCCATTCGTCCCAACCATGAGCATTAATCAACCTGAACATGATGGCACTGCCGGCCAGGATTCTGCCGAATCTGTGAAGTCTGACAGGAAGGGAAAAAAGACGACCAGCCGGAAAACAGAAAGATCACGAACACCCAAGAAGAAGTCCCGCGGTAGGAGTCCTGAAAAGAAAAGCAAGCCCAAGGAGAAGACTGAGAAGGGACGCGCTGCAGAAGACAAGAAGGAGAAAAACGAACGACCAGAACCAAGGCATCTGAAGGGCATGCGATCAGATGCCAGAGAGCCGAAAGTGAAAGACACACCCAAAGATTCGCCGCCCCTACCAGTAACTAGGCTTATTGTCAGGTTACCGGAGGTCTCTAATGATTAATGGATTCGTTCTGTTAACACAGGGGGCCTCTTTTGTTCATTCGGTTTGGGTGACTATAATATAGACCATCTATGACTGTTGAACCAAAGGTCGGGTGATGTTTTACGGAAAAGGCTGTTTGGGGTTGGCTTTACTAGGCTCAGCTCATTCATTTTGAATCAGATTCGGCATTTTCAGTTTGGTTTGAAAGGTTCATTATTATTGGCTAAACAGAAAAATAAATAAATATGTTTAACAGTTACAGAGCCCACAAGTTCCCATAAAAAGAGGGTAAAACGGTTTGAAAGCATACCACGCCACCGCCTGCCAGGTGTATTATCTTATATTGCCAGTTTCCTCATTTTAAGTGCTGCTCCTGCTAATTTATCCACCCGTCCACAGTCCACTCTGTCCACTGTTTGACCAAGGATGATGATGAAAGTTCGTCTGACCTGGACCTCGTCAAGGTTCCATCCAAGAAAGGTGGATCAATGCCAGTTCCCTTTCTCGAAACGTCCAAGGGTGGAAATGTGTTGCTCATCTCCCCAGCTGACAAGAAGCAGCTGGAGATCCCTACTTTGACGGATGATGAGTGGCAGCTCAAGCAAAAGACTCTGGATGGAGTAGAGCAGTGGGTCCTCTTCACCAAGAATGGCACCAAGAAGCCCCGTTTTCTTCAGAAAGCTTTGCAGCACAAGCATGCTACAGAGTGGAAGCCGGACTCGGACGCGATTGAGATCTCTGGCAAGCGCGATGGCTCATCGTCCTCGTCATCGTCAAGCCACTCACGTCGCAGTAAGAGGAGTAAGGTGGAGGAGAAAGCAGAGAGAGAGAGGCAAGAACAGGAGGAGAAGGCAAAGCGTGAAGAGCAAGAGAGGAAGGAGCGTGAGGTGCGAGAAGAGAAAGAACGAAAGGCGAAAGAGAAGGAACGATTGGAGAAGGAACGACAGCAGAAGGAAGAGAAGGAACGACAGGACAAGGAAGAGAAGGAGCGACAAGAGAAGGAAAAGGCAAAGAAAGAGAAGAAAGAGAGGAAGGAGCGTGAGAAGAAGGAGCGCGAAGACAAGGACAGGAAGGAGAAGAAGGAGCGAGAAGAGAAGGAGAAGAAGGAGCGAGAAGACAAGGAGAAGGAGCGCGCAGAGAAGGAGCGCTTAGAGAAGGAAAGGGCAGAGAAAGAGCGCGCGCAGAAGAAGGAACGTAAAGAGAAGAAGGCAGCTGGGAAGAAGGATGACAAGGATCAAGAGGAGGCGAACAAGAAAGGCAAAGATGAAGAGTCAAGTGACTCAGATTCCAACCAGGGGGGGGCAGAGAAGGAGGAAACTCCGGCGCCTTCGCCTGACAGGGAGACTATGCAGTTAGAAGCTCTTGCAGAAGAAAATGGAGAAATGGACAACAAAGAGCTTGAGGACGGTGGCAGGAAAGAAGAGGAGGACTAAAATTGAGAGCTGGGGCTTGGTGCGGGCTAGCGCAAGCTTTTTTTCAACTGAAACATGGGTTGGCGCCCGTTCTGAGTTTTCCACCATTTAAGCCTTAACTGGACCTTAATTACCTTAATTTGGAAAATTGTGTTTTCCCCGTGTTTTCCACCATTTGAGCCTTAACTGGGCCTTAATTTGGCCTTAATTAGGCCTTAATTTGGTCTTAATTTGGTCTTAATTTGGAAAATTGTGTTTTCCCTGTGTTTTCCACCATTTGAGCCTTAACTGGGCCTTAATTTGGCCTTAATTAGGCCTTAATTAGGCCTTAATTTGGTCTTAATTTGGAAAATTGTGTTTTCCCTGTGCTTTCCACCATTTGAGCCTTAACTGGGTCTTAATTTGGCCTTAATTAGGCCTTAATTTGGTCTTAATTTGGTCTTAATTTGGAAAATTGTGTTTTCCCTGTGTTTTCCACCATTTGAGCCTTAACTGGGCCTTAATTTGGCCTTAATTAGGCCTTAATTTGGTCTTAATTTGGTCTTAATTTGGAAAATTGTGTTTTCCCTGTGTTTTCCACCATTTGAGCCTTAACTGGGCCTTAATTTGGCCTTAATTTGGCCTTAATTAGGCCTTAATTTGATCTTAATTTGGTCTTAATTTGGAAAATTGTGTTTTCCCTGTGTTTTCCACCATTTGAGCCTTAACTGGGCCTTAATTTGGCCTTAATTTGGCCTTAATTAGGCCTTAATTTGGTCTTAATTTGGTCTTAATTTGGAAAATTGTGTTTTCCCTGTGCGTTCCACCATTTGAGCCTTAACTGGGCCTTAATTTGGCCTTAATTAGGCCTTAATTTGGTCTTAATTTGGTCTTAATTTGGAAAATTGTGTTTTCCCTGTGCTTTCCACCATTTGAGCCTTAACTGGGCCTTAATTTGGCCTTAATTAGGCCTTAATTTGGTCTTAATTTGGTCTTAATTTGGAAAATTGTGTTTTCCCTGTGTCTTCCACCATTTGAGCACCCTTTAGTTCTCTTGATTTGGAAAAATTATAGTTTCCCTTATGTTTTTCTTTCGTTCGAGCCTTAATTGGGTTTTCATTGGGTCTTAATTCGGAAATTTGTGTTTTCTCTGTGGGTTGTATAAACAAAATAAGATTTCCCTTGAAAGGGGTCGGGGTGAAGGTCTCTTTCAGAATTTTCAAAGGAAAACGTTTTAAATGCTGAAGTCTGAAAGTCAAAGTGGTTGTTTCCTTCGCTCCAGAGCAATTTTCTATTTGCAACTTGGAAACGTTCAATTTCCTTTTTTTGGGGTCAAAGTCTTAATTTGATGGTGCTTTCCTCTGTTTTTAAATTTTGTTCAAAAAGTCGTTGTAAACAAATGTAAAGCAGGGAAAAAGCAAAAAGAAATTTGTTGTTTTAACCTCAGCAAAGACCAGTCTAGTCATTTAGAGTTCAGGAACAACTACTGGCAGCAACCCTCCCGACGATTTACCAAATCTATTTAACAGTTTACAGGGAAACCTAATTGAACAGAACTTTGGGCTTACAAACTTGTTTATAAATGTGTAGAAGAACCATCAGGTGAGTTCTAATCTTGTTGCAGGCGGCTTAACCCATGGTGCTTAATCAATAAGCCTTTGAAGTTCACACAAACCATTCTTTGACATGGTTCATTGCAATGGTCCCATGCTTTATCATATGAAGTTCGTTCGGTACTTGGTAGACACAACCATTTTGATTTGTTGTGGCTGTTGGATTGTTGGTGAAATGACGTTTGCAGTTTTTGAGGGTCTTTCATGCGGGGAATGGTGATGAATGACCTTATCCTCCATCTACGCAACACCATATACGACAATATTCAGACCATTTTCCAAGTTTCTGCCATTTTAAAAAACCCAGGTTCGAAATCATATCATTAGCAGGATGATTCATTGAGCCTGGAAGACTTGCTGCAGAAAGAGGAAGAGAAGCCATGGCCCGATCCACCATATACAGAAGAATCCCTAAAGAAACACGGGCTGTCAACCCACTTTCGGCGACGCCGCTAACTCTGGTTGGCATGAGAGCTGCTTTAACTAACATCACCGTCAAACAAGTTCAGGTTGTTAAAAATGATTTGGTGAAAAGCCAGTAGAAACAAAGAGCACGTTTATTTTTTGTGTCACTTTGCGACCCCTCAGTACATTTGTCGCAGTGTCTTCTCCCAAGCAGCAGCAGCAGCAGCCTCATTTAATCGACCAATCAGATCAGATGCTGCCCACGCAAATCTTGGTACCTAGCCAGGCCAACATTGTGGTTCAATTTCTGTGTTTGAATGATATCTCCAAACTTTAGTCAGATCTGTGGTGGGTGTACACACTCAAAAGTTCAAAACCGTTTGAACTATTATTGTTTTCGCTTTGCTATCCGGGACCACATGCAGGTACAGTGGCCTAAAATCTGAGCTCGCTGGAGAGCGAAAATGCAAACCCATTGCGGACCACACCCATTGAAGTTCAGGGTTTGCATGGAGAAGTTGAAATGAATGTCATGTCAGTTGGCTGATGCAAGATTTGAAGAAACAACACAATTCAGTTCATCCATTAGAACTCACATCAGCAATTGAAGTTTGGTGATTTAATTTAAGGGAGTCGGTTCATTCATGGTGCAACCCCTTCAGATTTGTGCTCCTGCAGTTTATTGGATTTTGGTTGGGTCACGCTCCTGTCGATCAACAGTCGCAAGACGTCTCAACAGAACTTTGCTGATGGCCTCCTCTTCTTCTCCTGCGAATGGCATTACCGTGCCACCAACGTTGTCTACGACCTCAATGAGTGACGCTGTTGTCTCTGTGGGATCTTCTCTCCCGCTTTCAGTGGCCAGGTTCATACACTTAATTTGAATGTGAACTAACAAGGTTTGAAATTCTGAAGTATTGAAAACATTGTGTTATTACAATGTTTCCTGCCTTTAGTATCTAATGTTATGGATAGGGAATATGTCTCAAAGTTCAGGATGCTTTGAACCCCCTCTATCATCAACTTAACAGAAAACAGGAAGCCCAATCCTCCACTTTACCACAAATACCACATGCATTTAATTATTAAGTATGGGAACCTGTAACAAAAAATCCTCGCAAATGTAGTCTGGACCCTTATCATGGATAC